TATATAATATTAATTTAGTTTTTCTTTATTTAATAATTCTGTTTTCTTTATTTAATAATTTCGTTTTTCTGCAGTTTATAATTTCGTTTTTCTTTATTTATTTTTGGTTTCTACTATTTGGCTTCCGTAAATATAGGTAAATAACGACAATGAATCTAAATTATCATGTAGAAAAAAGTCTCATTAATTCATGATTTATAGAAAATACTTTAATACATTTCAAAGAACTTTAGCCCTCTTTAATTAATCAACAGTAAGACAGTTTACACTTTATCTAATACATGTATATCATAACCGGGTCAACTTTACTTTGGAACCTGTGCTTAATTGCCTTTTTTCTTATACCTCAACCACTGAAGTTTAAGGAGTAAAAGTCGATAAGTTATAATGAAAAAATTATTCTTCGAAAAAAGATGGCTATATGTACATGTAGTTTTTACAGTGCAGACATTACAGATTTAGTCCTTGTACGGATCAAAAGTGGATTCGTTGGTGGGGTTTGTTTTCTTTACTACAGGAAATGTACAAAGTAAAGTAACTAAAAAAAGTGGCATTGGATATTTTACTTAGAAAATACAGATCCCTTTTAAATTGGCAGAGTTAGAAACATGCAGGTTAATGTGAAGAAACGAACATACATCTATAAAATTTTACTAAAAAAATTTGTCACCTCTTCTCCATTTCTAATGACCTTTCCCATAATCTAAAGGTACGGTCAGTTGTTCGTTCTACATGTAACTGTCTCCAGAAAGTTGCTCAACAACAATCCACCATCCCACCCACTCCATCCCCCAATAAAATAGTTATTTCAAATTTGAGAAAGAAGTCATTTTTTCCTTGTCAGTATATTTCTTGATTAGATTTTTTGACAATGGTTTACCTACCCCCTGGATCTACGTCTGTAGTCGATACTGGTTTTAACAGTTCAACAACCCTACCTAGGCAATGTGTGATTTTGTAGGGGTAGGTGGATAGCGCTGCTGAGATTTTTTAGTCATTGTTTTTTTTTAATAAATAATTAAAAATCAAAAGTCTGAAGGCTTCAATGGATTCCAACAAGTAAACAATTTAAAATATCTGAAGATAGGTCAAGTGAGTAACTATGGTAACATAATAATACAAGAGGCCCATGGGCCACATCGCTCACCTGAGTAACTTGGGTGATGCAGATCTTTACCAGATTCCCCCTCTTGCTATACGTATCATGCCCAACAACCCACTTCCCTTTTTTATTTTAAAACTTTAGAATCTACACTACCCAAGGATGCTTCCACATAAGTTTCAGCTTTCCTGGCCCAGTGGTTCTTGTGAAGAAGATTTTTAAAGATTTGTTCTATATATTTCTATGTAAAAAGTGGATTCCCTATTGTGGCCCCATCCTACCCCCGGGGGTCATGATTTTAAGAATTTAATATCTACACTACCCAAGGATGCTCCCACATAAGTTTCAATTTTCCTGGCCCATTGGATCTTGAGAAGAAGATTTTCAAAGATTTGTTCGATATATTTCTATGTAAAACTTGGATTCCCTATTGTGGCCCCGCCCTACCCCCGGGGGCTCATGATTTTAACAATTTTATATTTACACTACCCAAGGATGCTTCCACATAAGTTTTAGCTTTCCTGGCCCAGTGGTTCTTGAAGAGAAGATTTTTAAAGATTTGTTCTATATATTTCTATGTAAAACTTGGATTCCCTATTGTGGCCCCGGCCTATCCCCGGGGGGTCATGATTTTAACAATTTAATATCTACACTACCCAAGGATGCTTCCACATAAGGTTCAGTTTTCCTGGCCCAGTGGATCTTGAGAAGAAGATTTTTAAAGATTTGTTCTATATATTTCTATGTAAAACTTGGATTCCCTATTGTGGCTCCGCCCTACCCCCGGGGGTCATGATTTTAACAATTTAATATCTACACTACCCAAAGATGCTTCCACATAAGTTTCAGTTTTTCTGGCCCAGTAGTTCTTGAGAAGAAGATTTTTAAAGTTTTGTTCTATATATTTCTATGTTAAATTTGGATTTCCTTTCGTATCCTACCCCCGGGGGTCATGATTTTAACAATTTAATATCTACACTACCCAAGGATGCTCCCACATAAGTTTCAGCTTTCCTGGCCCAGTGGTTCTTGAGAAGAAGATTTTTAAAGTTTTGTTCTATATATTTCTATGTAAAACTTGGATTCCCTATTGTGGCCCCACCCTACCCCCAGGGGTCATGATTTTAACAATTTAATATCTACACTACCCAAGGATGATTACACATACGTTTCAGCTTTCCTGGCCCAGTGGTTCTTGAGAAGAAGATTTTTTAAAGACCCCACCCTATTTTTGTCTTTTCTTGATTATCTCCCCTTGTAAGGGGACTTGGCCCTTTATTTTAACAATTTTACCTCCCCTTCACCCAAGGATGCTTTGTACAAAGTTTGGTTAAAATTGGCCCATTGGTTCTTGAGAAAAGTCAAAAATGTGAAAAGTTTACAGACGGACGGACGGACAGACGGACGGACAGACAGACGGACAGACAGACGGACGGACGACGGACAAAATGTGATCAGAAAAGCTCACTTGAGCCTTCGGCTCAGGTGAGCTAAAAATAAAAAGTAGTTTTGACACAAATACAGTTTAGGGCCTTATGTCCTGGTCCGAATAAAACAGGGTTCGAATTGACCAGACATCGTCAGAAATGTTCACGCTCAATATCAACCTATTTTATAATTTCTTTTCAGCCAATCGAAGACATATGAAGGGTTACATATATTTGTATATTATTATTTCTAATTACTATTGTCAGAGCGTTGTTCTACAGTATAGTGATTGCATTTAAACTATAGCTATGACTCTAATGTTACAAGTACGTTCGAGTTACGATAGGGCGCAGTAAATAAATTAAGGAAATGGATAAATAACAGTAACACTGCTCAATATCATCAGTTGTTCGAATACGATGTAAATTTGGATAGAACATTGTAAAAGTTAAGCTAAGATTAAGAAATTCAGTCTTTAGAGTCTTGTAGTATTCGTGTTTATTTTGTAATTATTTTACCGTCTTGAAGGTTGTTTGAAAAAAATTGGTTAACAGTTGTTGCTATTTTCTATTGCGGATGCGTATGCATCCACAAACACATTCGGTCGCGTAAAATCTAACCAATCACTAGATGACGCTCGAGTTTCGATCGACGCCTTAAAAATGACCTAGACACGCATGACATAAAGTGTTTAAGGTAGGATTCTTCTCTGGTTTCTGACTAGATGAAACATTCAAAGTATATTTGCTTATATGTCTTATATATTGAGGTGTAAGGAATTTAAATGACTATATTTTTCTTTCCTCATCACAATTGTAAAACTTCAAAAAGAAATGGTAAACCGCGCTTGAAAACTAGCAGGGACTATATTTTTGGCGGAATGGTGGCGTATGAAAATATTTTCTTTTCTGCCTCTCAAAATTATAATAGAACAATGAATTTAGTTATAATTTTTACACAATCGAAGACTTGGAGAAATTTTCAAATGTAAGTTAAATTAATATCGAGGGAATAAACTTTCAAAATATGTCAAATAAATATGCTTTTTCAAACAAACTAGAATTTTATTAGCTTTAAAACGCTTCCTATCAAAGTGCAGATTTGAGCCAAAAATCCATAAAAAGTATATTTTTTCTCTCTTAGCAAACGATCAAAACTTTTTGTTTTTGTATCATTTTGTACATTTATAAGAGTACTTTATTATATGTGAAAATAAGAAAAAGTTAAGGATTTCAATCCCTAATGGGACCAAATTCTCTACCCTTAAATGTCCGTCAAGTACACGATACTCTTATATTATATTAAAGCATTTTATAGTGGAAAAGGATTGCCCACGAGAAATTTTCAAAAAGTTCATTAATTAAACAGTAGTTAATTAACAAAGATTGCATTGAAGTCTATGGGAAAAAAGCGTTTTTTCAAAATAAAAATTCAAATAATTTGAATATCAATAAATCCTGTGGTGGAAAGATGCATTGAAATATTAAAAATAGAATGATAATTGAAAAGAATTTTTTTACCAGCTCAATTTTTTTTAATTGATTTTTTTATTAATTAAAAAAGGGGAGATAACTCTTACCAAAATTCGAGGTCATGAATTAGGACACATCCCACTAAACATACTTATAGTAATAAATGGGAAGTATGTATAAATAAACTGAGTATTCAATGCTTACATATCTTTTATGATTTCAATTTCATTGAATTTCTTCCTATTAGGGATTGAAGACCTTAAATATAGGAAGCATATGAAAATAACTAATATATCCTAAAAAATTAAGAAAAACAGAGAAAACTCGGATTAGCCAATATCCAGTTAAGTTAAATTATTTATGTAAATTTGGTAATATCATTCTATAGACCCGATATATTAATATGTTTTTATGCAAAAAGAACAATCATTTAACTTTTGAAATAGAAGTAGGTATCACATGATTAGCAACAGTATTTTTAATTCTTAATGTCAAGGAAAAAGATAATGACCTTGACCTGACCTTGCCTCTAATATAAAACGGTCAAATTTAATTTCACTTATACTATGACTTACTTATGTTGTCTTCTTGATTCTGTGAAAATTTCATTAATTTTTAATTATTAGAAATATGAGAAGAATCCTACCTTAAGGAGGATTAATTGGAACTCTTTAACGTAATGAATTCTACAGCAAAGCGAAAGCAATGCAAACTATTTATACCGTATAGCGGGCTATTTTAGCGGGGTACTTATTTTGACTTATTTTAGCGTTTTGATGGTACCCGCTAAAATCTTTATCGTTAAAATAGTCAGTACTCTTCTTAGTGTTCATCTGCAAAGAGCTGAAACACTGTGTCCGCTAAAATAAATTACGCAAAAATTATTGGCATACCTTTGGCAAGACAAAACGCCAAATTTTACACCCGTCAAGAAAACCCGCTATACGGTATGTGTTTACTTCGGTGAATGTAATTATTTTTTTTTACCAGAAGCTCACCTGATAGTCTTGTCTTCCACACGCTGTAACTGCCCACAGATGGTGAATCTAAAAATAGAAAGTACGGAGTTAATTAAAAAAGATATTAGAAAAGGCATTTCAATAGTCTCATTTTAATTTGTAAATTTATAATTGAAAATGATCGTTATTTTAACAAGTAGACCGCGTTCAATGAGAAGCAAACGGGGTTTTCTTTGTGAAACAGTTTTTGCATTTTCACACTTTTTAACAAATATTGCCTTTGCATGAATGTTTTGTTGGCAATGTATAGATATTTCTCATTATATCCTTTGCTCTGCACTCATGGCTTCTGATCAGCAATGGATCTTTTTCGTACTTACACCTACTTGACTCAGTTAATATGGTTTTATCCGAAGGAAAAGTCTTTGTATCCTATAGTGTTATCCAAACCCGATTCTAGAGCAGACGCTCATACTACTGTATCAACTAGGCGACTCTGGTAGTTTCGTAAAATTCAATGTATTCAAAACTCGCGTGCAAATCATATTTTTATGCAGCTTGATTGTGATGAAACATTTTGTTGTCCAGCACACATTGTCCCTATATATATTGCTATGTAAAACATTGATTGCCAATTCTGGCTCCATCCTAGGCTCATGGCATGATTTGAAGATTCTTGAATTCATTTTTTATACCACTGTACCTTACGTAAACATCACATGCTAATCACTGACCTAGTAACTGCTTTTCTCAGTGGTGGATATAGAAAATTCAGAACAGGGTACATGTATGTAAAGTTGGGTTACGATTCACATTTGTTAGACCAGCAATATAACACACTTGTGTGTGAAGATATGTTGATGTGTATATACAAAAAGGAAAAAGAAACGCATGAGATCATAATATGCGAAACAATTTCAGTATGTGACCGAAAATTATGAAAATTAGTCAGATGGGTATTTTGGTAACTTTGCACTGAAATCGCTGGTCAAAACTACTTAACCATAAAATGGCGTCACGTGGGATATAAGTGATAAAAAGTCATAAACACGTTTAATTTTCATCATGGCAAATTTGTGATCACAATTTGTTGTGCAAAACGATGCATTAGAGTTATGAACATCTTTTTTGCATATTTGCAGTCAGCATGATTTTTTTTGCAATCATGGTATGGCTGACGGAAGTTAAATTGGGACTAGTATAAGGGAATAAAAAGGCAACAACATGTTGCTGTGCGGTTGGTTTTTAACTTTTCAACAAATAAAGTTTTTTTTCGGTTGTCAAAGAGTATTTTTAAAGGTTCTCAACCAACCATGACGTTGACGTTGGCGCCTAACAACGTCAGACTTTTCACCATGCCACATCGGTTATCGTCAAGCCATTATCACTGAAACCGATATTAAGACAGCAAACAATCATAGTCATAATTTTCATCCTAAAACTGACAGAAACTCTCTGGTCTTATTTGGTCCGCGAGCTTTAATTTGTAACTTTACGTCGATTTTCCTCGCACGCGCGCAGGTACGTGCCATATGCGTTTTGTTTTCAGCATGTTCACACTGGGAAAAAGTAGCCAGTGTTTGTCGAGACTTTAATTTCTTACAGACATGCACGTGTACCCAAGCAGCTGGATTCTGTAAATTCTATCCTAAATCAAAAATTCGTGGGATTCATTGGGCGGGGAGATTTGTTGGCTTAGAATGTTACAGCTACTCTCAACCACTAAGACTACCGTCGGAAGCTATAGGGTTGAACAATCATCCTGTGAGAAAGATTAATGCTCTGATGAACTCAATGCACAGGAGAATTAAGGCTATTACTGTTGTGCAAGGGAAATGATAATGATTCTATTTTTTTTTTGGGGGGGGGGGGGGTATCTCAATATATTTCAATAACTCATGAATTATCAGTCTAAGTCACACAAGATTTTTGATATCTTACTGATTAAAGATAAATTAAAATGTTTTATAACAAATCTGGAAAAAATGGTTTTAATTTAATTCAAAAGTTAAATATGCATTTCTTTTTCCCTTTCAGTATTATACAGTTATGGAATGGGTACGATGAAAATAACTAATTTATGGTTCCCCGAGGGAGAAAACTATTTCCCAAAGCGCCAAAGCCCCCGAGGGAAAAAGTTTCCTACCGAGGGGAACCATAAATTTGCTATTTCAAGAGTTCCAATTCCATTATTGTTTTATTATTCCTAAATAATCATAGGCAATTCAATTTTTTTTAACAGATATTCCGACATTTAAAAAAAAAACTGTAGAGGCATAATTACATGTGCATGCAGTTTAACACAATGTATGATAAGTAATGCATCGTGTCCTAAAAACTATTAAATTATTTTTAAAAAGTATTTTCATTTCGAAGAATTGTCGTTGTTTCCATTTTGCTATTGGCCTAATTCAAGTATGATTTTGACATTGCATGTCGAAATGTTTTGACGTCATTGTTACAAAGTTAATAACATGACGTCACAGACTCGAGATTCCTTGGACGCTCCGCCCACTGAACACTATGATTGGTAAAAATACTAATAAATATTCATAAGGGAGTACTCCCAGGGAGTACCTCTGATTTTCCAGGGAGTTGTCTTCAGATGAGGGCAATAGTCTTTTCTCGGGGAAATAGACAGTTTTATGGTATTAATTTTATGTAGAGTAATAACAGTAGAGGTATAATAAAGTCAATTATTTAATTCTGATTTTTTTCTCTGCACTCAATTAAGAGAATATTTGAAGTTAACATAATTTTAAAAAGCCAAAAACAAAAAAAAAAAATAAATAACAATTTTAACCCCTCATTAGAACAAACTTGAATCCCTTTCATCCTAGAAGGCTCCATTGCAAGTTTGCTTAAATTGGACAAGTATTTTTTTTCTTAGATGGAACTAAAAATGTTTACAGATTGATTAACGGACAACAGACTAGATGTAACTAGGAAAACTCATTTATCTTTCTTTTATATTCTTTGTCTATCTCTCTGTCTGTCTATCTTGATAAATGTATATCTCTTTCTCTCCCTCACCGTACCTGTCATGGTAGCTCAGTCAACTTAGTGTTCTGCAGTCCATGAGTTCGAATCTCGGCCATTGTTGAACTAAATTGATAAAAACGGGTAGCAATTGTTTCTTCACCATCCACTTGGCAGTGAAAGTTGCTGATCCTTTTGATTAAATCTTAGAAACTAAGGCCCAATGTCATGATAGACGTTGGCACGAGAAAAGATTCCTCAATGCTCAATGGCCTTAAGGTAGGTCGCGGGTTTACTGCGTAAAAATTCTTACGAGAAAACATATCCTGAAAATTTGATATAATGTTCCTTAGAATTTACAGCGTATTATCTGCAATTTTCACTAAATTTGCCTACGTAGTTTTAATGCTATATTACTGTAAGCGCGGTATTGTTGTTGGTACTTTTTTAACGCTTTGCTATTGAACTGTATGGGAAAATGACATTTTTAAGCCAATTTTGTTTAAATAGTTTCTTTGAAAAAGATTGGATAACCTTTTAAAGACGTAGACAAATTAGTCAGCAATTTCAAAATGTGAAAATAGGTAAAATTAAAACTTTTAATATAAAAAAATCAATATGTCTTCTCGCTAGATTTTTTTGATAAATAATTTCAAAGTTTTCTTTTATACTTCTAAAATGTTGCGTTTATGGCGTTATTTATGTCTACAACGTCATTTGTTAAACGTAGTCACGTTTACAGTACGAGTATAAATATCTTGACCTTTCGAATATGCAATATTTGAAAATTAAAAGGTACATCGATACAAAATTCAAATTTATTCATCATTTCATTTATTGCGGAAACATATTAGGATGACCAGCAACTTATTTTCACTAGTATTGTGAAAATCATATTCTGATCACAAAGTCAAAATTAAGGGTATAAAGATTCCTCGTGCACGAGAATTATCATACAGCGACAACAACGCAAGTGATAAAATATTAGTACCTGTATTTTAAGAAACTTCATGGTCAATAGGATTTCAGGCATAACACTTAATTCGAAAACGGTAATAAAAACATCCCGATTCTGAGGAAATAAGCGGCCGAGGGGAGAGGGGGGGGGGGGGGTATTTGTTCTTTCTATATTAGTCGCAAGCTATAGTATATTGCCCTAAATCTCAAATATTTATTAATTTCGAATTCTCTGAATCAATTTCAATACGCAAAATGTAAAACATTAATTGTTTACAGTGTCTTATAGGTCTTACAGTCCAGGTGTTTGTATAAATTTGATTTTTAAATAATTTCACAATTTATTAGCCAGCAAAACAAGGCGAGTACACGGGATTCAAATACATAACAACCAAACAATATTGATAATGATGATAGTAATTTAAAAAAAAAAAAACAGGAAAATACATGTACTTAAATTTAACCCGTTTTACTGATAAGGATTTATTCCATCCTGAGAAGTATACTCATATTTTTGCCCCGGCTTTAATGGCAGTCATGATGCAATACGCATGTTCCCCTGAGTTTCAAATAACGTGCGCACATACAACCCCTCAAGTTTTCCACTAAGCAATTTTTATTCAAGATAACTTTCTTTCTGCATACCATAATTTTACGCTGATTTATTTTGATTGATTTTTAGCAATTTAGTTACACTTACAATATAAATTATTCCTTTCATTTGGTATTGTATTTAATTAGTCCTAAGACATTACATATAATCACATCAGAATTTAGACTGAAATTTAATTTATATAAAAGATGTACGAGGTTTACGTACAAAAGCATGCACGTTGCATTAATCTACTTGATTCGTACAGACTTGAAGTCATTTGCAGAAAATTAAACGGGAAACAACGTAACGTCGCCTTTGTGACGTAACTGACGTCATAATCAAATGTGCACAAAGCAACCGCTCGAATCGTCGAATTTGTGTACCAAAACTGATGACAAAAGCAAACCCGCGAACTACCTTAAGTGCCGAGTTGTGAAAATGTAAAGCCCTTCACTTCTATTTGATTACGTGTTTTATAAGTGAAATATTATCTAATGGGACGTAAAACAACATAATTCAATCTCTCTCTCTTTCTCTCAAACGACAAAATGCACCG